ACCTGAGAATCGCGGTTCAAATACTTCTTACTATTTCAATATCCATTGCTAGCTGTGAACTTTAATTAATTTTTACAGATCAATGCTGGGACAAGATCGCCTAAGTGACCTAGCTTTCTTAAGTATGGGGAGAGAAAAGTTTGAAATGATTGACTTTGATGAAAAATATATGCTTAATATATTAGATATTTGTATTAATGTATTATGATATCATCAAATAAATATACATTATACAGGGTGTCTCACGTAACTGGTTCGTTAGAACTTTTTCAGGTTCCACTATTCGTAGAGATTTGAAATTTTGGTAGCATGGGTTGTTTATTCGGAACTTTCGATTTAATAATAATAATAATAATAAACAAGTTTATTGTTCACAAAAATCGATACAGGTACATAGTATTGAAAATACAAAAAAGTTTATATATCTAAATTTAAATTTATGAACAAAAGGTGATGTTCGATAGTCTCCTATCGTTCTTCCACAATCACCCCCTTAAAAATAATAAACATAAACATAGACAAAACAGAAAAGAACATGAAAAGAGAAAGAAAACACGAACAAGAGAAAATTTATGCGCAAATACGGCAGAGCTGAGGTATTAACATCATCGGTAACCCTGAAAGGTGCATTGAGCCGAAAACAAGGCTGCCCTATATCGACGTTTGAGTAATGCAACGGACGTGCACAGTCCTACAGATCCAGAAATCTCGTTAACCAGTTTTGAAATTTGGTAAGAATAGCATTTTTTAAAAAATTGACGTTTGTGAATGGGTGGTGTGAGAGTTCCCTTAAACCTAATATTGAGGGTGTGCACGTCCGTCCTGTACCGTATCTTCCGGCGAAGGTAGGGTGGTCGACCNCACTAAACTTGTTGAGATTACAACATATTTTCGGATGAAAACCTTGTTTCTTAGGCTATCGATGCATAACGATAATTACCTGTCGTTAGATAGAATCGATAGACCTTGCTTCTACCAAATGTGTATTAATAGACTTTTCATTTTTTGGCTGCTTATCATGATTTATCAGATGTGTAATATTTCAAATATCCTTTCCGTTAACTTCGCCTTTTGACAGAGTATTTTATATTATTTAATATTTATAGTATAATTTTGTAATAGTTGTCGATTTTCTCTTTAGCTTTCGGCTGATAAAGAAGTTTTAACTTTGAAACCGGTACCGATTTATATTAAAATTATTTGCAAGTTCAAAGTTCATTTCTTTTGTTTTATTTACTTATTCATTATTTACTTACAACATGGATAACATGTGGTGAGGCCGCCTTTGAACGGTCTCGACCTTTGGTAATACCGCTGCCACCAGAAACAGTATTTCGCGCTTCCTAATTCTTAGTCTGAAGGACCCCTAATTGATCCTAGCGAATCAATCAAAACTAAATGACAAGCGCGCGGTCACTATTTCAGAACCGTGGGTTCTTGCACTAAGGCTCTGTCAGGAAAAGGGGAAAATCAAAAGACAAGTGTTCTAACCACACTTAAACTATATTAACAAAATAACAAGTAAAAATAGACAATGAACAAAAAAAGAACCTTATAATCTACCTACGATTATCTATGACCCGACGTTACTTAAAAAGAGATATTTCCGAATCTAACCTCGACAGCTAATACTCGTTGACAGATAGGTGATAACGAAAACTGGCAAACAGACTTACTCAGGACTTGTATTCCGATTTGGTGGTACGCCGATGGATCGCAACCCTGGATCCTTTTTGGTGGCTTCTCGGAAGTTAACCGGGAAGGTTCCAACACCACTCTTGCACCAAATCCTCAGTGGAAACACAATTACCGACACGGATGCCCGAAGTACAAAGAATGTTCGCAAATGAAACTAAGTCACAGTTCTCGATATACGACGACACTTAGAATTGGCGTTAAAGCGAATTCTAAGTTGCTATCTAACGGAGCGCTGACGACGTTTCGACTCAAAAACCTCTTGTGATTGTTATTATTATTCTTAATTCGTAATTCGTAATTCCCTTGAAAAAGGTCTTACAAGCCCTTAAGTAATAATAATAATAATAACAATAATAATAAACAAGTTTATTGTTCACAAAAATCGATACAGGTACATAGTATTGAAAAGTTTATATATCTAAATTTAAATTTATGAACAAAAGGTGATGTTCGATAGTCTCCTATCGTTCTTCCACAATCACCCCCTTAAAAATAATAAACATAAACATAGACAAAACAGAAAAGAACATGAAAAGAGAAAGAAAACACGAACAAGAGAGAATTTATGCGCAAATACGGCAGATACGGCAGAGCTGAGGTATTAACATCATCGGTAACCCTGAAAGGTGCATTGAGCCGAAAACAAGGCTGCCCTATATCGACGTTTAAGTAATGCAACGGACGTGCACAGTCCTACAGATCCAGAAATCTCGTTAACCAGTTTTGAAATTTGGTAAGAATAGCATTTTTTAAAAAATTGACGTTTGTGAATGGGTGGTGTGAGAGTTCCCTTAAACCTAATATTGAGGGTGTGCACGTCCGTCCTGTACCGTATCTTCCGGCGAAGGCCTGTCGTTATAATATTGAAATAAGCTGTTGCGCAATNCCTGAAAAAGGTCTTACAAGCCCTTAAGTAACCTCGGGTATTGGAGGGGTGCAAAAACCTTCTTGAGGCGTTCCTATCGCCTGGATGTTCCCGACACCTGGGCCAATCCAAAATACGGGGCGGATGTTTTACAATAATTTTCTGAGCCAATGAGGAAATTTGGGGAAGGGAACAATTTTTGACCACGGGGCCAGAAGATAACATCCGCCACTAGCTAATCCCAAAAATCATCACGTAAATCCCAAACTGTGGGAGCCATCAAACCTTTACGTTTTCTAACGTCTATTGTATTTTTAACGACTTTTTCGTTATCTACGTTTTCCCATAAATTTGCTTGTACATTAATCTTTCTCAAAATTTATTTTGACGTCTGGTCACCATCCCGGACGTCGGTCGTAAACGCGAGACGTGATTTTTGGTTTTTAGAAGAAAAAGGCTGCACGCCAGGAATATACAATTCGTATGGTTTATTCCCAAAACCATTAAATAATTTCCGAATTATTACAAACATTCAAAATTATATTAGGAGACTTTGTAAACTAAAAATCTTATTTCGATACAAAATTCTTAACCCTTCAGTAGTAGTCTCGTAAAAATAGTAACGTCAGAGATCGCGATAATAATAGTCAGCCACTTGCTGCTTCTCCCTGCAAATTTACATTGAATTTGCATCCTTTTAACATAATATAGGGATTCAATCTATTTTAATTAATAAATTACAAACAAATTTAGTTAATACGTATATTTAACAAACATAAGGCAACTATAATAAAACATCAGTTATAAAAGTAAGTATAACTATTTATAGGAACTCAATCTGTTTTTATAATTGATGACTATGGTTTATTCTGTTCTTAGCGTTACCCAGGTTGCACTACGAGGAAGTGAACAGAGACGCAAAAATAAAGTATAACTAGATAATAAACTTTATAATTTTTAATAGAAAAATTTAAGGTTCGTTATCGGATGGATACTCATCTGCGATTTCCTCCAGGTCCCATTGCTGCTCAGCTGGCTTCATAGGGTCGTACATCATCGCGGCTATTCGATAAAATTCCGCTGCCTTATCAAGCTTTTTCGCTGTGCATGATTTGTGGAAAATATATCTGGCAAGATTCCCTGGGAGATGACTTTTAGTACGGCAAGATGTTGACATACTACTCTTAGCATGACGCCAGGTAGATTCGATGGCGTTGGTGTGCGTTCCAGTTTCTGGGTCCTTAAAATTAATCGAATGATTTACTTTAAGGTGTACATACCCGTGTCTTTCCAAGCAATCATATGCTTTCCAATAATCTGAAATAATGGTGGTACCGGGAAGTATCCACTTTTCAATTAATGGAATCAGGGTATCTGCGTTTCTATCTTCCACAATCTCTATGAATACACGACCTGTCCCGCGTTCATATCCGCCAAACACCCACTGGCCATCAACACGGTATCCTCGATGTCTCGTCTCGACAATAGAGCCAGGACCACCTAACCTTTCTGGGTGCAACAGATACTTATCCAGGACTACCTGTCTACAGAACGACGCCCAATCTACAGCTGTCTGGAAGGACATTTCGGTTAACTTCGCAATAAGGTTAAGATTTGCCTTTTCCATCCAAAGAAACGCGAACCCTAAAATTGCTATATTTGTAACTTAGAATATGCAAAAATGGTGCCTTTTCGAAACAATACAACCTTACCGCGCTTCTTGCTTTTATGTTTCCGAATGGATACATGCCCATGTTAGACCCTCACCTACCTATCAATTGCATTACTGCAATGTTGTAATACGAGGGGGGTCTCACATTGAAGATACTTATACTCATCTTCCTTGGGGATGAATCCCTATTCTCTCAGGCGATTAACTAATTCATCTCCTTTCAAAGAACAGAGATTATTCAAATTAACCTTATCAATCAAAAAAAAATGAAAATTAATATCTAAAATTATGGAAAATAAAACCAACTTACTTACCGCAGCCATGTGTTGTTCAGCCATTGTTGTTCAGTACGTATACAGTTGAAGTAGAAATATGATAAGTTCACAACAAAAAAATGTACAGGAAATTGATAAAGTTCGCAAGAAATTCAAGGTCATGTGACACCAGTTCAGAAAAATGTCAGTCAAATACACAGCTTTCAACAAAACGACGGACGTATACGTAAAAGCGCTGTTAAATCCACTGTTCCTGCTCTGAAAACTTCACCCCTTATATACGATTTTCTCAAAACAAATGAAAATCGATTCATTCTGATTGGTAAGATTTTTCGGTGGATCATCCGTTTTATAATATTCCTATTGTTTTGAGGTTATAAAATTAATTTTATTAAATTCTACCTTAATCTTTTGAATTTCTCCAAAATAAGGTTTATTATTCTTCTCTTTCAGATTTGACCAAAGGATTTGACGAATATTTCACCCTACGTTATGACCTTNCGGTCGATGTGATAAAATGAAAAACTAGTCTTTTATACCACTTGACAGTTCTTCTCACATATGGTGCATATGCTGCCATCTGGTCGGAGTGGTCAACAAAAGCCTTCCCTTTGTTATATTCAACCACCATTGTAGGTTTATGAACATCTTGTCCCCTTCGATGTACTGTAACCATGGAGTCATCATGTTTGGTAGACAGCATCAAAACATCGCGTTTGTCTTTCCATTTGCAGACTACGGTTTTATTTTGATTTTGTTGGGCTACGACTTCACCTCTTCTCAATTTTGCTTTCACCACATCTGGGGGATTATTTTTTCTATTAGATCTTAGGGTTCCGACCAGATGTGTTTGCCGCTGGATTAGGTTTTCAGAAAGCGAGACGCTTGTATACCAATTGTCTGTATACAGAGTTCTACCTGTATCCAGTAGTCCATTCATTAGTTCTTTCACAATTTTCTCGGAAACAGATATTTCTTGTACTCGCTCTTTTCCTGTGTAGACTTTGAACGACCAAGTGTATCCTCCATTGACACAAAGTTTGAAAACTTTTATGCCGTATTTGTATCTTTTGTTAGGAAGATATTGTCGAAAGTATATACGTCCCCGAAATGGGACGTTGCTTTCGTCAATACACACTTCTTCTTCGGGATAATAGGATTCCTTGAAATTTTTTTCGAGCATATTCAAAAATTTTGAAATTTTGTGAAGCCTGTCTTCTGGGTTTATGAGTTCCTCATTATTTGATAAATGAAACATCATCAGCAACAACTCAAATCTATTGCAGCTCATTACTTTTCGAATTCCGTTTTCATACATTCTTTTCGTGCACCAGTAGTCTCTTAGTTTAGGCAAATGCATTAGTCCCATCCAAATGACGATGCCTAGAAATTTTCGCATCTCTGCAGGATCAGTGTTAGTCCATTTATTGAGTCTGGGAGTTCCAGCTCCTGTTGCATTTTTCTGTGCAGCATATCTATTAGTTTCTTCTACCAACACCGATATTACATCATCGTCTATGAAATGCACAAAATATACTACAGGAGATGCTCCATGAAGTTTCTGTATAAGATCTGCAGGAACGCCTGTCTGGACAGCAGAAAAAGGAAATGTCTTTCTGTCTCCTGCCACAGGTTCCCACCTCCTCTCTGGTAAAATATCAGCTAAAGGAACAACTTCAGCAGCTTCGTCCTCGTTCTCAACATCCGATGATTTAACTTCTTTATCTCCTTCATCTCCACTAGAACTGGAGCTTTGATTTTGGGAGAAAGTAGGGTCTGCAATGGAGTCATCGGAGAAATCTGAAGCATCAAAATCAGTCAAATTTTCCGCTTCGAAGGCCAATTCTGCTTCTGTAAGAGCTCTTCTTCGTGCCATTATTGCTTAGAATCTGAAACAAACGAAAAATAAAATGCGTGCCCACCGGTAGGCATTCGGTCCTACGATGTAAATTTCATCGTGGGACAACGTGCCTACTGGTGGGCACTAAAAAAAAAATACAAAAAATCGGTAAAAAGGAAAAATAAGGGTAAAAATAAAATAATACACTATAAAAAAAATATTTATTCAAAAAAAAACGCATTTCTAATCCGTGGTCCCAGGGGCCGAATGGCCATTTCGAGCTCGGGGCTGAATGTGTTAAAAAACACGCCTCAAAGCACGAAGACATACAA